TCAGTAATCTCATACTAGGAGTGAAGAGAAGACCCAGCAGCTTCTTTTGCTGCACTCTGCATGAGAGTGGAAACCAAAGGGAGCAGGTCTCATCCACCCAGTTAGATCGTATTAGCTGCAGAGTAGGAGGTCAGTAAGGGAAGAGAAAAATGTCACATTCACACTCAGTCCCTTGAATGCCTAGACCTCTTGTCCAAAAGATTTAATAGTATATTAACCTTGGTGATGCTTTTTTTGTATCAGTAGATCAGTAACGCTAGCATGAACTCTTATGATGAGCTCACAGCAAAGCTGTTATAGAGCAAGTCCCTCTTTATACTTGAGCAAAAATCTCTGCCATAAGACTATTATCAGGTAGTGTGTTTTCTAATATTATTTTAAAATTAGTTACTAATGAACTAAGAAATCAGGCATTAGAAGACAGTCACTATGGAATATTTATGACAGTGCAACAGAAGAAAGATACATTGTCAGGGGCAGCCAGGACAAGATGGCTGAGAAAGGGACCATGGCCAGAAGATAGACCTTCACCAAGAAGGTTTCAGACAGGGAATAAATAAGTAAGTGCAGAAGCAGAGTCTAAGGCTGCTTGTAGCTGCTGAGCCAAGACATCACCTCTGAGGCTGGCATCAGGCCAGAGAAATAAGTTCCAGTAGTAGGTGGCTAAAAGGGGCTGTTGACAGATTTCCTCAAGTCCTTGGGCTCCCCCGCCTCTAACTCTCACCACTTGCCACATTCATTGCTGCCTCCTGCCATCTCCTTCTGCCTGCCTCTTGTGCTCTGTCACTAGCTGTTTCCTCATTGCTTGAGAGTTGCACCAGGGCCAGTAACTTATCCTGGAGGATAACACAAAAAAAGTTTGAGAACCACTGCAGGAAGCGTAAATCCATATGCTAAATATGTCTGTTTAAATAGTATGTACTCAAACCATAAATTACTTTAATGTATAGCACTAGCTGATTAAATCAGCACCACAACTATTACACACAAAAACATTTAATAAATAAACTCAATGAGGACATGGAAAGGAAGCCCCACATCATGAGAGTTCACCACTTTGCCCAAGGACAGCATGGCAAAAGTGCCACTAGGGCCTCGAGTAAAAACACACGAAAGCTGTCACTGCTGCCAAAAGCAGCAGTCTTGCTGTCCCCAAGCCACTCATTTCCATCCTCTTGCTGGCACAAACATTTATGCAACAATGTGGTGAACCAACCCCAATTAAAACTAACGTAACCAAAAAAAGGAAAGTTTAGTTTTAACCCACATCAGTCCCCTGATTGGGTTCACCACATAAGTCTTCTGCCAGCATAAAGAAGAGAAAAAAAATTGCCAGAGGCAGAGCTGGTTGGTTTTTGAGCAGAAGTGCCAGCCTACCTCAGTTTAAACTGGAAGCACTGTGCAAGAGGAGCACAGGGATCATTCAGCATCTAGATGATTTTGTGCTACACCTTATCATTTATGGAACAACATGCACTTCTAACCCAAGGACTTAAAACTACCTCGGCCTCAAAAGATCCAAGACAAAGCACCTATAACAAAGGACACAAAATGGTCACTCCTTTCTTTTCACTGCAGTAATGGAAATAGCTCTGGGGTTTTTTGGTTCAGTTTGTTTGTTTAATAGTTATTTACAAGTAGATCCGCTTCTTCAAGTTACCTCTCAGCCAAATCAGTAACATAAGTTTACTGTATCAGCTAAGGTTTGATTAAGCCAGTCCTCTGCATTCCAGCTCAGTACAGACTGTACCAGAAATATCTATCCTATGCTGTTGCAAAGAAAAGAATTAAATAATGAGCTCAAATTAGCATATGAGAGAACATAAAGATGTGTAAGGAGTCTGAAGTGCCCAGAAGGGACATGCCCTTCCTTAACAGATTATTTTATTCTATTATTTCAATAATATTCCTAAGAAGATACACACTTATTACTGGCATCCTACATCTCAAATAGCACTCCACGGAGCACACAACAGTCAACTGTACTCATCTTAGGTGTCAAAGCTTCTGGACCAAGTCAGCCACCACATGCCAAGCAATTGTTTTTAATATGAAGGAACAAGGGACTCTCAGCTCATCATGTCAGGCCTGTTATTAGTACAGTGCTCTACAAATCCATACCCTTTCCTAGATGGAATACCAGCCCTCTGAAGCAACTTAAATATCTTCCATTGCAAGGCTGTTCCCAAGCTACCATTATTCTCATAGTTAGGCTTTCTTCTGACTTCCACCCTAAATGCACTCAAGTTCTACCCATATGCTTTCTCTTGTTGCTCATTAGCCTCAGTAGTTGATGGGTACCCATATACCCTATCCCAC